CCCGCGCACCCGGGCGCTCGCGCACCCGCGCGCCCGTCCATCCACGCGCACGCGCGCACGCACGCACGCACGCACACACACACGGTTTCAGAAGCTACCAGGAACTAAAATCAGGTCGAATTCTTTTTCAGAAGCTGCCAAAGAAAGCCTAAAACGTGTTTTAATTCCCCTAAATGAGTTTACATGGAGAAATATTTAAACCTGATGTTAAATGCTTCAAGGCCTACTACCACGGAGAGGTATTAACATCCATGGTTCCTCATGGACATCTTGTGTTGCCGCAGTTTTGTGGCTTAAGCTTCATGGACAGGGCGCTGACCAGTGGTGTTGGTGCCGGTACTACCTTGGCACTGCTTGACCTTGACAGAGGGGCTCTTCGATTTGCACCATCGCCTCCCTGCCCTTGGATTGAGGCCCCGGAACCGCATCTGCATCTCTCATCTTTTTCGCTGGGGTTGTTGGCGGGTTTTCTATTGTGGCCGATTCTGGAACTGATTTTACACCTGCGGTGGGCATTGCAGCTGGCTGTGCTGCAGCGCGTCTTGACTGGTCCGGTCGAGACGGTTCAGCCTGCCCCGCGCAGGCCCTTTTATCGCCTCTGTTGTGCGAGCAGAGGTAAGTGCACTTCGGCGTGAGCTGGCTCGGGTTTCGGATAGTGGTGCAACAGGGCCCAACATCTCAGCGGTTACAAGTGTTTCTGTTGGGGGATATCTGGCATCGGGAGCTTCGGTCACCGCTCGGGATTCAACAGTTGGTTCTGCTACTGCCTCAAACACTACTGTTCCTGGCTCACAGAGCTGGAGTGTTCGTGAGGCTGTTTGCGACGAGATTGCATTGTGGGTGACCCTCTGTTTGAACGGCGAGCATCGTGCAAGCTCGGGGCGGGATCGGATCAATCTACCATCTTGGGTGTGGATTGTGGCCAGGGACTTTGAGGGCAATTCTTTCAACCCCCCTCGCATTTACGGGCATTTTGGTTCCTGCAAGAGCTTGGCGAAGCGTGGAACAGATTTGGGACAGTGTTTTTGTGGGCCTTCCTTCTCAGCGGGAAGCCTTTCGTGTCATTGCTGCAGCAGGCCTTTCGAGGCCTGCTGATTTGCTTGATTGATGGATTTGGACGAGTTCGACGAGGCTGAGAGTTCGCCGGATCTCCCTCGTCTTTGCTCACTTTCTGGCGAAACAGACATCAATTACACACCATGCCGTTACACCACTCCTTTGGGTGTGACGGTTCAGGCTATCCCCATCTGCGATTTCGAGGGGAAGTTGCTAGCAGCTTTTCCTCATCAGGTTTGGCACAAGACTCCGGCATCTTGCACGTTGCCTCGAGACATGCTGTCGAAACCAATAGCAGCGGAGGTCTTTGCAGCTCAACAAGAAGACAGATCTTTGCTGATGGAAGATGGAACTGCAAGGTTTGGGTGGGCTTGGTGAGACCTGCGTTGATACATGGCTTTTCCGTACACGAGGAGGAGCTCTCTCTCCCTTTCGACTATGCTTTCAAGGACAGCGAGGGCTCTCCTGTCCTGCCTTCTGCTCTGGGACTTGTGGATGTTGCGAACGACCATTTTGCTTTTCTGTCTCTTCCAGAACAAGAACAGCTGGGAGCTTGCCCGAAAACAGCTGCAACAGGAGATGCTGGTTTGGAATCCCGCGTTCATAGCTTGGAGGTAACGCTAGGTACTATGGCGGAAGACCTTGCAAAAATCACGAAATCAATGGAGGAACCTGCTCCACGGGTCTCTGCCATGAAACCACTTGGTCCCAGGTCGTCCAAGAGTGACCTTCCCGACTTGGATCCAACCATGGTTGCTTCAGCAAGAGCTGCAGGGATAGAAGAAGAGGCGCTTCAGCAGATGCAGTGCATGATGGCCATCACCAGGACTTCAAGGAGACTGGACGAGCCACAGCTTTTTGTTGGCAGCTCCCTCAAGTCAGCTGGAGGACGTCCAAGCTCAATCAGAAGATCCTGGCTTGGACGAGGAACCTTCATCGCCTTGCTTTCGGAATGCTTTGTCCAAGCTCACGCAGATTGTGAGTTTTTTGACAGACGAGAAGGCCAAGAAAGCCAAGCAGACTGGAGTGGAAGCTGCCTTGGAGACCGCAGACCAGGGGCCCAGTGGAGGCGCGAAGAGGGCTGCAGCAGCGCCAAGCTCTACGCTCGGCTCTGTTGGAGAGGCCGCAGGAGATTTCATCCCTCCTCGAGAAGCTGATGTGGGAAGATTTGACCAGCCGAACGCAGACTCCAGGAATGCCTCGGGAAGAGTTTTCGGCAAGAGCTTGGGTGGAACGCAGAAGCAAGATCAGTGTTCACAAGACGGGAGCTTTCTCAGCTTGGTCGGCAGCTGGAATCCTGGACGACCTGGTCATGGGTCATGTCGCTCGAGCACGAGCTCGAGCAGCTCTACTGCTCTTACAGCTGGATCAGGTGGTGGTGGATCGTGGATCCTGGACTCTGGGGGCCGAACTTTCTCTGGAGCCGGCTCCACCTTTCTCGAGCCTGCAGCAGCATCTTCCACGGTCGGTGCAGGATGGAGAGGCGCCATTCAGCAAGCTCCTTGACGCCAGATGGGCGGAAGTCGCCCTCGCTCATCTGAGCGATACCGACACGTATCTGGCAAAACGGAAGACGGTTGGCAGGAAGGCTGCGCAAAGATACCAGCCAAGGTCCAGCAAACCCCAAGCCAAAGTTCAAAGCCAAAGCCAGGCCGAAGCAAAGAGCAGAGTCGCAACAGGAAGCGGCTCATTCGACCGACGCGTACTGCATGAGCCTGTGCCCTGCTGTGGTGGCGGCAATGAGGTTGAGCTTGATACGAAGAAGGTTAAACTCCCTTTGGGCAATGATGCTTTGCCTATCGGCTGTTCGCCAATTGAGCCTGGTACGAAGAAGGCCAAGCTCTTGGGCTCTTGGGGTCAGCCGCCCCCACCATTGAAGTGCCAGGTTTGATGAATTCATTGCCAAGACTCATCTTGAAGTATGGTGGGTTGTTCAAGCATTTTCTGTTTTCGATTGTTGGCCGGCAGAAGCCCAGTTCAAATGAGTTGGACACCTCCTCACCGCCCAATAAGCTTCCATGGCCGATGCCTTTGCCCTATCCAGAAGTTTTTCGAGCTGGTGAGCCTCTTTCCAGCTCTTGGAGAAAACGCAGAGTTTGCTTACAGATTGCTGTCTTGGATTGGTTTGTTCTCGGAAGACCCAAAGGCTGCTCCAAGATATCTGTGTTTGGGCCAGAAGCTTTCTTCAGAACAGTGGGAGATCGTTAAGACTCTCAATGGGCTGAGTGAGGATGCGAATTCGCCTTTGGAGGTTGATGCTTCGATGATGGGCCGTTCGGCTCCGAAGAATGAGTTGGCGGACCTCGAGATTGCAGCTCTCCATCGTGCTTGTGCAATTTTTGAATCGAGAACGAGATGGGAGTTACTTTTCTAACCAGTTGACCACTCGGGTCAACTCCGACTCTGCAACTGACTTCGACAATACTGGTGCCTTTGGTGCCTTTGTGTCAGAGGTTCCGGTTGAAGCTTTTGTCGCAGCCAAGCCGTTGATTGCAGACCGTATCGTTTTTGGTGACCTGCCAGCTTTCAATCCACGCCCCTTCATGGATGATGTTACATTGCGTCTCTATGATGATCCTGATTCCAATCTGGTTCAAGATGCTGCCAACGTCGTGGCGCCGAAGGTTTCGGTTCGTGCAACTCTGGATGAGAAGCTCAGCTTGTACCATGTGGTCGCTTGCTACCTTTGAAGAAAGGTCAGATTGGTTTGCCTCTCTTGGTGGCTTATTCGCAGTAGGAAAGGATCTACAGAGGGACAGATTGATTCTGGACCGACGCCCTCGGAATGCCAGGGAGAAACCTCACAACTCTTGGGCGAAACGCATGGCTGCGGGTCACCAGCTTTTGTCAATCATTTTATCTGCAGATGAGTGTTTGGAGATGTCTGGCCAGGATGTCAAAGACTTTTTTAAAAATCAGTTTTCGATCAATGATCGTAGACTGCACAGCAATGCTCTTCACGGGTCGCTGTCACAACAACAGATGCGTGACGTTTTTGAAGGAGTTTGCCCGGTTGCTGGATGCGCCTTTGTTGGACTCTCCACGATGGCCATGGGTGATCTTTTGGCTTGTGAGTTTGCTCAGGGCAGTCATTTGGCGTTACTCCTCCAGGCCTCTGCGACACATCCTACTGAGCTGATCCAACTAGAGCATACTTTTCCTCGTGGCAATTTCTTCGCTGGCATCGTGGTCGATAATCTTGTCATGTTGGAGAAGGTGGTCAGGAAGATGGACGCTGCCCTTGAGCCCACTCGCTTGGCTCCAGATCGAATGAAGAAAGCAGTCGAAGCATACCGAAGTGTGCATCTGCCTCTGAACGACAAGAAAGCCTTTCTTGGAGTTACTCAGGCTTCATTCTGGGGTATCGAGCTCGATGGAGTCGCCGTCTCATTGCGTGCTTCTTCGACCAGACTTTGGCCGCTCGTGATGATCACTATGCGGGTGTGTGCTTTGGGAGTAACCCCCCTTGGGCTGCTGGAGTCTATGGTCGGCTCATTTTGATAGTTAGACGGCGGTTGCTTTGCATTATGTCTACGGTTTACCAAGGCTTTTCATGCAGGTGGCAATCCTGGCTCGGTGATACGAATGTCAGATGCGCTCAAAGATGAGCTCATCACCTTCTGTGTATTGGCGCCTTTCGCTTGCGTCAACCTTCGGGCTTCTGTCCTGCCTGAGGTATTTTGCACAGATGCTTCGAATTGGGGTGCTGCCGCGGTGAGTGCCCCATTGCCTTCCAAGATTGTCACGGAATTCACGCGGCGTGCGCTTACAAAGCTTTTATGGTCGCAACTTCTGCCACCCGGCAAAGCCTGGCTTCGTCTAAAGGGCGCGCTGGACCCCTCTGAGGCAAGGTGTTTGAACTGCAAGGAAGTTTTTCGGAAGAAACATGTTTCTCAAGTTCACATCAATGTTGGAGAACTGCGGGGTCTCCTACAGTTGGAGCGTCGCCTTTGTCGGGAGCACCACAGCTTTAGATGGCTTAGCTTGTTGGACTCCCAGGTATCTTTAGGAGCCCTTGTGAAGGGCAGAGCAGCATCACAAGCTCCCAATATCTGCCGTATATCTTGGGTGCTGATGCCTCGGATTCCCATTTCTATGTACCGTCTAAGCTTAACCGCGCAGACACCCCAACACGTGATGCAGAAGTTCCTCCTCCAGATGTGCCGAGGCCTGTTTGGTTTGACCAGCTTTTACAGGATGATTGTTCAGGCTTCGACGCTTGGATCGCCAGTCTACCATCGCCTGACGGGAACTCAGTTCCTGACTTCCAGCAGCTCATCAAGCCCTTGCATGTTCGGATTAAGCGGTGTTCAGTAGCCTTGGAGTTTCAGAAGCCTGCAAAACAGTTACGGCATGGAGATGTGATTTCCGCTTCAAAAAGCAGAAGGACAGTGAAAGCTGTCCGCCATGAACGGGTCACCTCAGCGACCAAACCACTGGACGAGAGCGTTGTCAGCAGTTTTTCTCCAGACGTCGTCAATAAGTTGAACAAGTTTTCTGCTGGCACTTTTTACAAGCCTGAAGGATTTCGTGGTTTTTTCGAAGCAGGTGCTCTTGACCTTTACTCTGGCAAAGCAGGCGTGGCGAAGAGGCTGATCGACGAGGGTGCCCCCTGGGTTCTCTCCGTTCACATTCTCAACGGTGCGTCGCAAAACTTGCTGGATCTCAGTCTTCAACAGAGCATACTTCGGTTGATCGGGATGGGAGCTTTCAAGGTTGTTGGGTCTGCTATGATCTGCCAGTCGTTCACTAGGGCTATCACTCCTTGTGTGCGTACAAAGAAATTTTTGCACGGAGCCCCCTGGATGTCGCGCAACATGCAGCAGAAAGTTTCAGATGGCAACAAGCATTACGACTTCAACAAACAGGTCATTGACGAGTGTGAGGCCAGCTCCACCTTTTATTGGTTCGAAAACCCTGACTCCTCCTTTGTTTGGCAGCAGGTCGGCTTTGAACGTTACAAGTCGCCTAAGAGCAATCACCAGTTTTGAACTGACTTTTGCCGATCTGGTACGGTCTGGCGGAAGCGAACCCGTCTAGCTGTATCTCTTCCTTCTCTGCGAGGTGTCCGTCTTATGTGCCAATGCAGTCGTTCACATCGTCATCAAGTCCTTCGTGGCTACAACAGGCGATGTCGCGTGGCATGAACCAAACTGGCAGAAGCTTATCCTTCTCGGTTTTGTGGTTTGGTTGCCAAGGCCATTGCCTATGATTGTCAATGGAACTCTGCAAAGCCATTTTTCAATAACAAGCGCCTTGATATTGCGAACTGCTCCAAAACTGGTTCTTTGCGTGCCGGAGAGGCCAAGAATCCCGGCCCATGGCGCAGCGGTGGTGTCAGGCATTTTTCTTTGGAAGATGCTCCTCTGCAGACGATGACTTCTATTCGCATTGGTCAGGCTCAGTTCAATGATTTCAAGATGTGGTGCGACCAATTGTAGTTGCGGGATAGTACAGAGCTGTTCGTGGCAGTGCCTTTGTTTTTGGTGCAGTGCATTCGCAGATACGGTGATATTATGTTTGTACAAGGTGGGTCCTTGATGTATTGCCGACATCTGGTGGTAGCGGCTATTCGCAGTTTACCGGCTGCGAAACAGTTTGCTCACATTTGTTGGGATCTGGCTTCGAGGTGGCAGAAACAAGAACCAGTTGAACATCGAGTTCCTATACCCAAGCCTGTTTTTGAGGCAATGGTTTCCTTCGGCTGGCAAAACGGATGGAGACGATGGGCCTGCGTGACTATGCTATGTTATTTTGGAGCTGCTAGACCTGGTGAGGTTTTAAGTTGCTCACGTGCAGATCTTCTGCTGCCAGCCGATCTCATGGAGGAGACCCACGGTTCAGCATAGCTTTTGCTGCAGCAATCCAAGACTAGCTATCGTCAGATGGCTCGAGTTCAACATTTGAAGATTTCGGATGATACTGCCATTCGTTTGCTGACATTAGTTTACAATGGTGCCGAAGCTTCGGAGAAGCTCTTTGCTGGCTCACCTGCCGTTTACAGACGCAGGTGGGACATTGTACTTCAGTGCTTGGGGGTGCCCACTTCTTGCTTGTTGACTCCTGGAGGGTTAAGAGGAGGAGGCGCAGTCAGTCTCTTTCGCAGCGGCCTTTCAATATCCAATTTGCTTTGGCACATGAGGATTCAGCATGCCTCCACCTTGGAGTCATATTTGCAGGAGGTCACCGCGATTACTGCCTTGACGAAGATTCCACAAGATGATCTGAAGAGGATTCGTTTGACATCAACTTTTTTCTCGTTCTTGACCTGATGCTGGTTCAGGGACATTTGACTGCGCAATGCATGTGAGGCTGCTCGGCCTTTACTTTGTTTTCGCCCGGCGCGCCCTTTTCTATTCGTGGAGAGGACAGCTGCTTCATTGGATGACTACGCTGCCCTTGGTTTACTGCGAGTGGCTTCATCTATGTTTACAGCTGCGTCGCCACACTTTCACTTATACTTTCGTGGGCGTCAGCCAGCACAAAACGAGTGCCAGCGCGCTGCAACTGAGGGATTTCCATGGTTCCTCATGGACATCTTGTGTTGCCGCAGTTTTGTGGCCCCATCCCTCCCTCCCGGCCTGTGGCTCTCTGGGCTTGGCAGTGGAGAGGGCAGCTGCTTCATTGGATGACTACGCTGCCATTGGTTTACTGCGAGTGGCTTCATCTATGTTGACAGCTGCGTCGCCGCACTTTCGTGGGCGCCAGCCAGCACAAAAAGAGTGCCAGTGCGCTGCAACTGAGGGATTTCCATGTTAATACCCTGCAGAAGCTGTCAAATAGTACCCAAATCCAAAGAATTAAAACAGGTGTTAATCTTAATTGACACCTGTTTCGACCCCTTTTCCACACACGCACACACGCAGCCTTCCCCACATCTGGCGTGGCTTTTTTTTTCAAATTTGTTGTGATGGGTATGTCCTGAAGCCATTTGTGGAGACCCTCAAAGATTATGGGTGGCTGGGCCGCCACAAGAAGAGGCTGTTCGCAATGCTGCCTTTTCCATTCTATTCGTGGGCCTCAGTCTTGACAGCAAGCTTTGTGCTCCTTTCAGGCACCCGCAAAGATGAAGCCTCACATAAAGCTGAGCCAAGTTGTGGGCGACTCAGTCGGAAGCACCTTCCGATGCATATATGCCCTGCTGTTTTGTGTAGCTAGGTGGCGAGAGATGGGACGCGTTGCTGACACCATTAACGATTGTTGTCGGTTTACCTTTCGCAAGCAGCGCAATCATGCGCTCATGACATGCCAGGACCTCGATGTTTGAATGCCTACTTTGCAGAGGGCTTGCCTGGGAGCCGCAGGTGGTAATGTGCTGCCAAAAGGCCAGTCTCTCTCTCTCCCTCTTTTTTCTTTTGGGGGGCTATCACCACACTGGCAGGTGTTCTGTGGTGGTTGCTTGGATGACTTCTTGAGTACTGGCTCATCGTGCCCGTCTTGCTGGATTCTTAAGCCCCCTGTGCCTGCCAGAATGTGGCGCTGCGACACTGAGGTCAGGCTTCACTGGTCGTCAGAGACGGCAGCACCGGTGGCCATGACCCTGGAAATGATATGTCCTACTCGAAGCACTTAGAGCAAAACCGTATGCTCGTTTTGATGGGTTATGCAGTGATGCCTTGAGGCTGCACAGAGCAGACGGTGAAAAGACTTGAAAAGACGGCCGAAGGCACGCAAGTCAGAGGTTCTAAAGCTGCGCCGCATTGGACATGGCCCTGGAAGCTCCATTTCCAGGTGTGAAAGGTGTGGCCTGGCGTGTGTACACGAACATCAATGTGCGGTGTGGCAAGAGCTGTACTTGGTACGGGAACATTCTTGCATACAGCTCGGCTCTCAGTCAGATCTCAATTATGATTATACTATACCTTCTTTACACGTTACATTTGCTTGTAGATGTTTGAGCTGAGGCGATCACATGAATTCGTGCCAAGTTGGCCAAGAGGGAATTTTGGATGATGTGCCCCATTCTGAGTGTGCTGCGCCTGCACTGTCAAACCACATGTTAGGGACGTTAGTGGAACTGTTGCATGTTCAACATACGCAATTGCAAGTTGTGAAGGTTGGCCATGTTGGGCCCTGGAAGTACAGTATGGCAGAATCAGGACACAAAGAGCGCACGCATCCGGACAGGCAGGACACTTGCAATCGGTCAAATGGCATGCGCCGCATGCTTTACCCAGGATTCCCAGAGCCAGGCAGGGACAAGAACTCAGCCAGACCACTTGCCCACCTGCCAGCCAAGGTGCAGGATGACGCCAGGGGCTTTGTTCTGCAGGCGAAAGGCAACACGGGCATAATTTGTTTGCCATACTAAGATGCGGGGAATTCACGTGGTTGCTGGCGGTCACTCGTCTTCTGAGCAGGCCTTGGCATGTGTGCACCAGCGCATTGTTGAGTGACAGTTACAAACTTGAGCCACGTCAGAGCACTTCTAAGGATCCGAACCAGCTCAACTTGAGAGTTGGAGACAAAGTCAATGTGCAGCAGGCTTCAAAACGCATGGCCCACGTTGCCTAAGCTTGTGCTGGTGCTGCTGCAACCCTGCACAGGTGGCGGGTCACGGCTGGGCCTTTGGCATCCTGATATCGGGCCAATCGGGTTCGCAGGGCTGGTTTCCTACGCAAGAACCTCAGTCTGAGAGCTGACATTTGGTGCCCTCTTCTGTTGTGTTCTCCTTTCCCTGACCAGGGCTTTCTTGTTATACGTCCCGCCCATATAGTGCTCTTGCACACCATGCGATCTTCTCTTTCCGGCGTGCAAGGCATTGTCTTCTTCCCCAGCGTCAGCACTCACCTCCTGAGCAATCACCTCCACCCAGTGCTCCTCCCTCAAGCTCTGTGAAGGCACGGTCACGGCAGACAGCATGGCAGACTGCACGGCAGCATGGCAGACAGCATGGACGGCAGTGATGAGATGCTGCTGCAGGTAGAAAGAGATTATACAGCAT